CACGTGTGTATGAGTACTTGAGGATAATTCTTTGCGCGTACAATGATAGCGACAATGCGCCATAGTTCAATAGGAGTGCGTCGGAGGCATCGCTTTGTGATAGAGGATGTGACAAATGCCATTCCAATGCGGCCTTTCACGGTAATCTGTACCCACTGGGGTTTCACTAAGTGTCTTGTGACTCTTCTAGAGTGTCTCGAACGCTCCTATCTGATCGTTATCGATAAGTCTATCACATGACTGACCGCGCCTCTGAGTGCGGTGCGTTTCCGCTGCCTTTTGTTGATTACATGTCGTTTTAAGTCCTGTGTACATTACCTGTAGTGTGTAATTCTCAGTATAATGCTCCTATTCATCGCTATCTCACATTTGCAGCATGGCGGCGCTGCTCTCCAAGTTCCGTATCGACTACAGTGACGTCATTGTCATCGATGACGTCACCAAGAAGGCGGAGCAGTCGACCAGGGACACGTTCAATGAGATGATCGCTCCCTTCAAGAAGGACGACGAGTCGGACATTCCAGGTACCGTTGGGACTTGGGAGCTATCCTGGTCACCGTCGTCAAAGTAATCTCCGACCGTCATCCGCTTTTTATAGTGCTCACGTATAGGGATTTTCCACGGCGGCGCGGGCCGTCACACAAGTATGTGGAAACGACATGGCTGTTATATAAGAAGTTGTTTTATTTCTTGTCTCCCAAGCCGCCGTGGCATTGTTGTTGATTCATGCTGGCTGCTTGAATTCCACGAATCTGTTGGGTCGCTTATGTCCAAACTTCCCTGTGTAATGCGGATATGTCACAAGAATGAGTAATGAACAAAGTCTCCGGCTAGTCTTATCTCATCCATGGCTTATATTCCGCGGATCCAACATGGTCTCCAAGGGGGCAGTGAGAGTCTCGATTGACCTAAGCAGGTTTAATTTTTTCGCTACGGGTCTACTTGCACGGATATTCCAATTTTGCTATGAACACACGAACAGTTAATTCAGCTGACACTGACCCCACTCTGTGAGACTATTGATGGCTGAATCCCATGAGAAGCTTAGTGTGAAAGTGAGTGACATCTGTGTGAACTCTGTAGTGACCCCGATGTCAGTTACGTGAGCGACCCTTATTTTGGCTTCGTAAGTTCCGTGAGCTACATGAGTGACCGTGATATGAGTTCCCTGAACGACCCCTCTGCCAACCCTGTGAGTGTCTGAGTGTCTCCGACATGAGCTTCGTATGTGACCCGTCCCCTGCGCTGCACGGCAGACGAGATCTCTGTGACGGACAGCGAGCTGCTGGCGAACAAGGATAAGACGAACCGCCACCTACGGCTGCACGAGCTGGTGCAGCAGCACAGTAAAGACTCGTCGCTGGTCGTCATGTGAGTAGCCGCCGATACTCCGCCGCGACGCCGCTGGGGGCCGGCCTCACCCTGGATTGGGGGAGATATGGCTAGTTTGGACCACCCCGACCCACCGGTGGCCACCACCTGCCGAAAGTTTCCTGCCTGGTGGCCGCTGCCCCCTGCCGACACCCTCCAGCCGGGTGACCACTGCCCCCTGCCAAAACTCTCCCACCGGGTGACCACTGCCCCCTGCCGAACTCTCCGGGTGGCCGCTGCCCTCTGGTCCCGTCCTGACCGCTCCCACGGCCCCGCCCGCGGCTAGGTCACAGCCCCAGACCCCCACAGCGGCCGTCGGATGCCGATAGGACGCCACTGAAGTGGCTCATAGACCCTGTTTACTTTGGTAAGGCGCCGCCGACTCGAAACAGTGCCATCGGCGATTAAAGGTAGATTAGGCGGCGAATGTGGGTCTGGGATTGCGGCCGGTCGCTTTGCCCCCCCCCCCCTCCCGCTCAGGGGAGATATCTCCCTCTGCGGTGGCGGCGGTGGCGATGGGAACGGAGAGTACATATATGGGTGTCTCTATGTGTCTCACCGCCCCGAGCCGGCTGATACTGGCTCCGATAGCGGCGATGGTACAGCTTCGGTCGACAGGCGGCCGAAAGATTCCGCCATTGGGACGGGTAATCAGCCGTGAATATATTTATAGCATCGCATGATCGGAATTTTAGGCACCAAAGATTAATGATGTCTGTGTGTCTTCATCCACAGTCTTTGCGTCTTCATTGGATCATTTTAACGTTTTTCATGCCAAGCGTTATCGATGACCTTGTAAACTTAATTCAATTTTACCTCGAACGTTGACGAACAAAGTTCTCGGCGCTGAAAACCGTGACCACGGCGAACTACAAACTGGGTAGTCATGTTCAAATATTCCCATACCTGCTACATTGCATGATTAAATCGAGACATCCAAGCATTTTAATGGCACGTGCACTGTACCACACTTTTCCAAGTTTAATGCAGTGCTTTAATATTGCCTGCCGTGTGGTTCAAGGGGTGTGGTTAAACGCGTTGAACCACACGGCTGCTGACGTCACTATCAATTATAGTTGTGAGCTTTTTGGCAGGTATGGGAAACACCTTCCAGCCCTAAGGCCGGGAATTCAATAAATGTCACCTCGCTTTTTTAGCGAAAAGCACCTCGGGCCTAACGGCCCTCGGAGTTTTCGCTAAAAAACCTCGGTGACATTTATTGAATCATCCCGGCCCCGGGCAGGAATATATTATGTAGGATGCGTCTGCGTGTGGATCTGCCGCATCCAAGCTAAGATATCGGTACGTTACGACCCAACCAACTTTAGCCTGGTGCCAAGTGACCCATAGTTCCGAACCCGAGTGTCATATGACCCGTGACTGACTGTGTAACTAACTCTGCCCGCAGGACGCTGCCCATGACCCGGAAAGGCACCGTGCACGCTCCGCTCTACATGGCGTGGCTGGAGATGATGACCAAGGACATGCCGCCGTTCCTGATGATCCGAGGAAACCAGACCTCGGTGCTGACCTTCTACTCGTAGTGCGCGGCCTCTGGGATGGACTGGTGGGCGGGGACGGGGATCGGCGGCGCGCCGGGAGCTGCTGACGGGGCCGGTCGGCCCGGCGGGGGCCAGCGCGGGCCAGTCAGGCCCAGTGGGGCCACATTGTGAACGTGTGTGGGGAAAACAGTGAGTCTAGTTCAGTGGCCGGGACGGCGCCGGGCTAGGCATGTTTCAGTTCCTTGCTCAAATCCGACATTGTGTGCCTTAGTAGTGTGCGTGAAAGACAGCCTTTGCCATGACATCGTGTCTTGTTCCGAAGTTTTAAGATCGATTTGTAGATGGTTGTTTGTTTAGGGATTTCCGGGCGGTGACTGCGTGGAATCGTGGAGAGCAAGCTGTGATTGATATCTTTTGGAGTATTTCATATGTATTAGCGGTATCGTTTTTCACAAAGTTCGGATTCCATATCGGTTTTAAGTGCCGTTCGTACGATTGTTTACCCCAGAAAGACTTTAATTGTGGGCTGATTGAGCATAAATATCACGTCTTCCAGCCGTTGAATCGTTTGTATGTGCCTCCAACAACGAGATATGTTAATACATCAGTTTTATGAGCCCCGTGTTTTAGCGTGTTTACGTCGTATGAGTCCTGATCAGACTCAAGACTTACCGTGCCGAAATGACTGAACTGGCGTGACTTTAGATGTGAATTTATGTACATAATACCGCGACAGTTGGCTAGGCAACACCCTTATGTATCCCAGACGGTCAGACTCGAGAGGTCATACGCCGGTGTCCCATTTATAGATCCTTTCAGCGGAAGAAGTCTTGTTTGCTACGTTTAGCGTACATTATATAGAAGAATAAAAAAATTAAAGCGTACATTTAGCGATTTGTAAAGTGATTTAGCGTACATTATATAGAAGAATCAATAACACACGGTTGTCCGGTCTCTGGAACGTATCAGGGTAAAGGATCACATGTACAAGTGCATTCCAATTCACTTTGCTAATGCAAATATATAGGTGCATTTCGGCAGCGCAAATCTCTAGGCGGGCTTTGATCACCTTTGAATGTGGCTTCAGGCTTGTTGCACCGACTGGCATTGACGTGAGGGATGAGGATGCCGGTCGATAGAAAATGTGAACGGATGTGTCCCTACTTTACTGCCTGTCGGGGAACTAATCTGAGAAATACATAGTGACTGGCCGTGAGCGCATACGGAAATCGATCCCTCAGCCCTCTACTATGTGGCGGACCGCCGAGTGACGCGGGTCCGGACTTCGGGTGGTAGTAGCTACGTTGCCTTTGACATGATTCATCGCAGATCAAAGATGATGGACATTCAATAAAATCCCTACTCGGAAATTAGCAAACTGAAGCATCCAGGCTAACTACCCAGTGCCTTTATAATCAGATTTTTTTTTTGTTTTGTTGGGTTAGGCCCTTTCGGTCCAATTAGACCATTTCAGAGCCGGGAGGATGATAGGATATAGGGGGTGACATTGGTCTGGGCAGGCACCCTAGTGAGTCGCCGGGGCTGAGCCCGTCCAGAGGACAGGCCACCCAGCCCCAAGGCACTCACTGCACCCGGCTACGGGGTGCGCTCCCTCGGGAGCAGCGGTGCCGCTCCAAGGGAGCAGCCCATAGTTGCCTGTCCAGCCCGGAGGGGGTTGCGGCGTGGAGGAGAAGGATTTCAGTATCCTGAGGATAGAAGCACGGATCGGTCCGAATCAGAATTAGCCTTTTGTACCTATGGGATAGTGATTAGGGAAGTTTGCATTTCCCGGCAAATGATGGTCTACAATGTGAAGGTTTCTTTGAATTTGGTAGCAAGCGTTTCGCTCAATTAGTGCTGCCATCTATGACGTTTTCCGCCCAATTCTACGAATGCGGCGCATTATTTGTCTAAAAACGCTGAAATCTAGCGTCTTTTTCTCTCGCGAAGAGGACTTTTGGTGCTTGATTTTTGTCATTTATTGAAATAAATTGAGGTAAGTTTCAGCCGTTGGATGCTCTGAGCAAGTAGAATGAACTTATCCGATCTGTGTAGAATTGATTATCTTTGTGTCCCAGACATTAAAAGCACGGAGAACGCCATTTTCCAGTGTCTGGGAAATCTCGCTATGACGTCTTGAGAATGTTTGCAAATAAATCAAAGTCTGATTTTCCATTTTCGAGAAATCTGCTGTAGATATTTTTTCACAGTGGATGGCTTCCTACTGGCTATTTCCATAAAGTTGTAAATTTTCATTTTGATTTGAGAATTATAGTTGTAGGTATAGATACCTACATCTAAATGGTAAGACCGATATTTTGACTTCAAAATTCAGAAAATCAAAACAAGTGAAGATAACCTTTTGATCTATTAACCACCAAAGTGGTATGCTCATGAACAGATTAAAGGGACCCTCCCACCTTCAAAAAAGTTAATGAATTGGCACGAAAGTGATGTCGCTCGGTTCAGAAAGAGCGAAAACGAATATCTACCAAATTTCATCGAAAAATATTCACCGGTTTTCAAGATATTAGACTTTTACTTTTGTTTACTTTTTGGGATCTCCGCTGTTCCTAGCGACTTTATTTGAAAGTGCGGCATTTGTTGCGCGCAAAGCAGCATATACCACCGCGTGCTACCAAACGTTTTAGTAAAAGATTTAAAAATCGTTAGATCTCCGCTGACGTCACAAATTCTAAGGGGGCATACCAATGCACTAGCCCCTTAGAATCCGAAAACTGCAAGTTTGAAATTCCATATCTCCGAATTAAAGCATTTGTCGATGTTGTGAGTGCCCAAACCGGTATTTGCAGGCCATGGCCACCAATTTGGCTATCTCAACTCAAAACTAATGTTAAGGTGGGAGTGTCCCTTTAATCAACTTTCAACCCGCACCCCACTGGGGGGGGGGGGGGGGGAGGGCTTCATAGTCCCCCTCCCATTTTTCTGCCATAACTTCTAAACCGCTAGACGTACTGACTCCAAACTTTCAGTACCTTAAGCTGTATCAATTTGACACCTTAACCTCGTGTCAATTATGAACTTTGTGGCTACCTTAGGTCGGCCCGAAATGACGTCAGAGTCAGAGTGACCTATTTAGATTCAGGTCAAAGCTTGACATGAATTTCATCCAGATATGGTCCATAGCACTAATTTAGTATGCCCATTGAGTTAACCCTCGCCGGCCTACCGCCTAGGGGAGGGGCGGGTGCCGCCCCCGTAGGTTTTTCCGGGATAGCTCTGAACACGCTGGCGATAGAGAGCTGAACCTTGGCATACCTGACCTCTGATTCAAGCCGGATCTTTTGACACCAACCACATTTTCGGGTCAGTTCAGGACCAGGTCACTGACCTATGACGTCATAAGTGAACCTCTGCACGGTCTTCAGATGTCACAACTTCACATTTCACAACGCCCTCACTGCCAGAGGAACTTTCACAGGGAAATGAAACTTGCAGGATCTACTCAATCTAGTATTCATTACGAGTCTCACAACTCGTATATCTTGGATTTTTCCTAAAGGTCTTATGAGGTCAGGTCATTTTTGTGACCTCACCATTATAAGTCAATGGGGAAAAATAAAACTGCTTTTCTGGCGCCAGGAACGATCTCCAACTATCTCAAGCACACAGAATCGTGATTTGATGCACTCCTTGCAAGGTTAGATGCGTAACTTTTGCAATTTTACCTATTGTTGACCTTGCGTGACGTCATTTATGACGTCATCAAGGTCATATTAGTTTTTTTGTCAATAACTCCCGATCAAATTGAGCTAGCGAGTCGGGAAAGCCACCAATGGACTCAGGAAGACCTGCCCAATCGAATGATATGCGACATGACCTCTTTCGACTAACCTCGTGACCTGGGGGCGCTGACCTGACCGTGACCTGAGGTCAACACCCTAAGTTGACCTGACCCAAACAAAAAGTACATCATTCGACGCGCCTGAGCGAGGCAAACACGATGCTGCCAAAATCGCGGCTCTGCGGCCGTTTTTGCGAAGTTATTCACCAAAAACTGAACCGTGCCTTGGGGCACTTGACCTGACCTCAGAGGCCACCGGTTGATCTAGGACCTTAAAATCGGGTACCAATCTCTGCGTCTCGTAACGGCGCACACGCTCGTTTTTCTCCGTAACGCGCTAGCTCCACCAGGGGCGAAACGGCGAGGGGGTCGTACCGCGCCCCCCCCCCCCTCGGCCGGCGCGTATGTAGAAAACCAATAGATCCGGCGAGGTTTAAATGCATAAAATGACCCATAACACAATATGGCACACATATCATTCTTTAGTTCATCTTTGTTGATCTGACCTTGCCCTTGACCTTGACCCTTGCATTACATTGTATTGTAGATATGTATCTTGTCTTGTAGACAAAGAATGCATTTTTGGTTGATCAATCTTGGTCCATTCTTCATCAACTTGGCTCTGAAGCCAGCAGTGTAGAAACTTGCAGTCTTTGCCCTTAACCCGCGACCGCCTGGGGGGGGGGGGGGGGGTCGGATCCGACCCCCCCTCCTCCGTTTTTCTTGAAATTCTCATGAACCGCTTGCGCTATCAACTTGAAACTTGGCATACCTTCTCCCCCATCAATTTGACGTCTCCTGTGCAATTTTGAAGAAAAAAATTCCAAAAAAATTTGAGATATATCGATTTTAGTGATGTAACTACATGGCGTTTTCAGTCAAAAAGTGGTAAATGTTTAAAAAATCGCCAAAAATCGAGGTTTTAAGCAAATTACAAATTAAGGACATCAAAAGACGCAGCTCAACGAGTTCTTTAAAATGGCTATCTCGGATTTTCCATAAAATGCGTTTTTCACCCCTAAAAATTCAAAAAACTACATTTTTTGGAAAATAGCTAATAAAATCCATAATTTTGAGAATTTCCAAAAAAATCGGAATATTTGTTATAGAGCTCTATTAGAACATTAGATGTCCCAAATTTCAACTTTCTATCTTGATTTTTGACCCCCAAATTGTAAAAAAATAGCTCCAACATGCATAGGGCATGGTGACGTCATAAGCATTTTCGCGAATTAGAGGCACTTCTGAACATCGCATGTGAAAACAAATGGCACCACTAGATTCCTGGGACAAAGCTCGTCTAGAAAAGTGCATTTTTATGTCAAAAATAAAAAGTTGAAAAATTGACTTTTTTTCTTAGCCCTCGTTTAGTTATGTATGGTATAAACGATTTTTTATACTTTCAATGCACACTTATCACCAGCACAGTGACTTGGGGTCACATATAACCATTACCATCGGATTTGGCGTGAAAAATAAGCCATAAAACGTGTCGCACGCCCATGTAGCAGAAAGTGAAAACCGTGACCTTTCGTGACCTGACCTGACCTTGACCCGTACTTAGTATGACCCCTATACGCACATGGTACCTTCACTAGGTCCTTGAGGTCATTTGTGGTGAGTTTCGAGCAGTAGCTATCGATTCCGCTGTCCGTAAGCCTAATCATGCAAAACCCCTGAATTTGACCTTTGACCTGACCTTGACCCGAAAGTTGACCTCAATCTTAAAATCTTAACCCGCGCCCTGCTGGGGGTCCTGGATTTCCACGCCCTGCTGGGGGGGGGGGGGTGTTTGAACACCCCCCCTTCTAACTCGGCTCCTGGGCCACGTAGCGATACGCGGAAGGCGGCGTTCGAAAGAGCGTCAAAAATAATGACGAAATCACTTCAGTCAATTTTTTGGTCAGGTCAAAGGTCAGGTCACCAGAGGTCATTGAAGGCAAAATTTCGCCGATTTCCAGGTCGAATGTCGACAATTTCCAAGAAGCCAACGCATAACTCGGGAACCAATAGAGCTACAGCGCCGCGGAAAAGCGCATTCGATAGCCCTATTAACGCCCTTTCTGAGTAATGTTCTCAGATTTGACCTAACGTCAACGGTTTTGCCTGCAGGGGGCAAAAACTGCAAAAATAGCCGATTTTTTCGGAAACAGTTTTTCTGCAATAACTTTTGACCCAAGCCTTGTACGAGCTTACTTTTACCGGCATCGTGTTCCTCTCGTCAAGACGCATCGAATGAACTATAACTTGACCTTGAAAGGTCAACTTGAAAATTTGACCTCAGGTCAAGGTCATGACCTGACCGGAAAGGGTCATGTTGCATATCAGTCGATCCGTATCGTCTAGCTGAACACATCTAAGGCGTTTTCATCGCTCTAGAATGCCTCTATCAAAAGTTATTTGCGAAAAACTGTTAGATACCATTCGTGACCTAAGATGACCCCAGGGCATAAACAGGGGTCACGGACACCATTTTCATGTTCAGTGTGTCTAAACCACTTGTAATTCAGTGTTTGGGAGTGTGTATAATGTCTTTCGTCCAAAACAGGCGCATTTCAATTTTCTCCCATTGACTTATAATGGGGAGGTCGCAAAATTGACCTGACCTTAGGTCATCGATATCAAAATTCTGAGATATACATTTTGTACATGCTATTGCTCTTAGCAATCGCTGAAAGTTTCAAAGCGATCGGTCACTCGGTATAGCTATGAGAGACATTGAAACTTTTTATGAGGTGAGGTCACTTCAAGTGACCTGGTGACCTGACCTTGAATGACCTTGGTCTGAAATTTTCACAACATGTGTAGAATTGATGTATGATAAGGTGTACCAAAATCGGCGGCGCTCCGCGCCGCCGTTTTTGAGATATTCGCGAAAAACCACAAGGTTTTGCCTGCAGGGGGGTGTTCAAACACCCCCCCCCCCCCAGCAGGGCGCGGGTTAAGAGTGCTTTGGGAAGGTCTCGTAGAGACCTTTCGAACGCCGCCTCGCGGGGCTCGATACGACCATTGGTTCTCGAGATAACAGGGGGGGGGGGTCGGATCCGACCCCCCCCCCCCAGGCTGTCGTGGGTACGGAAATAGCCCAGGCGGTGCCGGGTTAACCTGACATTGACTTCACCTGTGACCTACTTAGGTAAAAATTTGTGCGCTACAAAGGTCTGTCTTGTAATTGTTAAGAGTTTTCAATTGCTGTTTTCCCCATGTTTCTACGACCATCCGTTCAAAAGTTAGACGGAGGGCAGAATCTTCCCCCTATTCCCTGCCCAACGGAGCACATATGGCTAGTAGCCCAGCGGGGTTTGGGTTAACCCTCGCACTGGGGGGTCGAACGACTTGGTCTTGACAGACAAGACAAACGCCGTGAATGTCGAGATTTGATCTCAACAGTCAACAGTCACTCAGAAATGTTCTAGGCTGCACGATAATGACAAAACCACCAAACATCTGTACATAACAAAAAAGTAAATTAATGCAGGTTTCTACTGAATGTGCCTTGTATGTAGAAAATTGAAAGGTTTACCTGTAAGGGTCAAATGAACAAACATGTAACAGATACGTGCCCAAACTCAAGCAGCCACCGAAAAGCTACATTGCCTCAGTGTTAAACCATCTTTGGCAGCCATTTCAGTATGTAACGCCCCTCACCCTGACGTTCCAGGCCGGTAAACTGACCGCGCTGCGATGGAGGTGGAAGTTGAGGAGGACCCCGTGTCGACTGTGGACACCGTGGCGATCGCCGAGGAGGAGATATCCACAGCGATGGACTCTGAGGAGGACGGAGGGGAGGACGGAGAGGACGGAGGGGAGGACGGGGAGGATGGAGAGCTGCAGGAGGGCACCCAGGTCATACACCTGGACACGGTGACGCTGGAGACGTCCGCCGGCCCCAGCACACCCAGGAAGCAGAAACAGTACCAGCAGCGCTACAGACACGAGTGGGAACGGCTCGACTTCTGCAGGGGCTGGCTCACGGTGAGGGCACACAACGCCGGCTGGCGTGCTGACAGTTCGCCGCTCAGGCTGCTGACATACTCCGGTTCAGCGAATATTCCTTTTCTGTTGTAAAAATGACAAGTTATGTTATGTGAGGTTGTTTTTTTTTTTAATCGATTCCAGTTATTTTTGAATGAAGGTTTGCCAGCACACTACCCATCATTCTGTGGCCATGCGTCTCTGTGTCACCACTCGATCATACATGTCCCGTTCACAGAGACATCCAGTCAACAAGCTTCTGGGGTACTGCAAGGCCTGTGACAGATCTCTACATGCCCGGAGAAATGACTTAAGAAAGCATGCTGCATCATCAAAGCACAGGACGAACATGTCCTTACTCAAGGTGAATTGGTGGCTGTGACGACTTAGTCTGATGATTAAATGAATAATATTATTTTCTTCGTGATTTTCGTGATCCAACCATTTATGCTATAGGTACATTGTTTCATCTCACATCATCAGCATTTCCTTGTGCACTTTAAAGCTAAAGATGCACAATGTTAAAATACTTAAATGATTTTATTCTATATTGTCATTACTCATTGCATGCTTTTAATTACTTTTTCCAGAATGACATTGCGCTGCTTGGCTTTGTTACTGGACTTAGTTTAGTAGTAAAGCTACATGTTTTATTCGACTGACAGTTGCTGTCTGCTTGTTTTTAGCAAGGCCTCCCGCGTCATGAAAGAGTCGGCAAACTGAACACCGTTCATCCGACCAAGCTTAACGACCCGGATCTGGAAGGTGAGTCTACTGGGAATCGGTTCAATCGGCATCTGATTGGAATGTGTAGGGGGAGCGGGGGTCTGTACTGTTCGCTGGTCGAATTAGGCTCTTTTTGGTAAGAAATCGGTCCTTCGCCAACTTCTTGCGTGGATCAAGGTGAAGTTGGTGTGCTGCTGCTGTCATGGTGTCAGATCTGTAGCAGCTTTAGTACGAATGTTTATGTTATGTATTGGGGCAGTGGCCCATTGTTCGTGCCCGGGGTGGTCACTTTCTGGTAAAGCTAGTCGTGGATAATCTAAAAACCGTCGATCAGATGACCAGCTTACTCAGCATTCGGTGGCCTCACGGTACGCAGTCGCGCCTGCTCGGATGAGCTGATGCTGACGAGCTGGCGACGGGTGCAGGCGCCCTGACTGCGCTGCTGCGCCTACTGGGCCGCAGCTCGTCAGTGGGCGGAGTTTCGCTGTCTCACTGTGCCGCGTCTCCCGCCCCCAGGCTGGTGCGTGGCCATGCCTGGCCAGCAACACCGGGTCTGGTGCCGCCAGTGCCAGTGCAGCCTAATCGCCCAGCGGAAGGCGCTCAAGACGCACAGCAAGAGCCGCAAGCACGAGCTGAACTCGGAACGGGCGCCGCAGTCGCCGCCGCCGGCCGGCAGCACCATCGTCGGCGACTCGTCGTTCAACGTCGTCGACACGAGCCTCAATGAGTCGGTCGATAACGATTCGGAGCGCGCCGCGTCGCCGCTCATCGAGAGCGATTTTTCGGTGAGGCTGGAGATTGGAGAATATCTCGGGAGTGTCAGGGACAGTCAGAGTGAGGGGGAGATTAAGGACTCTGGGTTCTGCAGTCTTGAGTGAGAGGAAACTGCTGGTTCTTGCAATCAGGCGCCTCGGGTTGACTTCTCTGTCCTTCCCGACAGGGCCGCGTTACTTACTCCATCGGACTGGGAAACCGCAAGGTGGGCTTCCTTGGCGCGGGACAGATCGCCCAGGCCATCGCCCAGGGTATGCTGGAGCAAGGTGAGCGTAACGGGCGATACGCAACGGGCGATACGCGCCGGGCGATCAGTGACGTGTATAAATTGACGCATTGACTCGGCATAAGCTATAAGGAACGAGGCAGTGTTCTGGTTCATAGTGTGAGTAGCGGTCGTGGTGGATATTGGGTGTTTGTGTTGCACCCAATATCCATATTGGGTGGGCGTTCAAGGTAGGTAAGTGTGACTAAGGAGGCGACGGTTCGTGCTCTAAGTTCTTGTGGAAATGTGTACTCATGAAGTTTTTGTACTCTGGTAACTTTATTCGCCATTTACCCAATGTACCTACCATGCATTCATTAGCTGTGACCATTGGCTTGACGGCGCTGTCCCGCCTGTCGTTCGTCAGGCCTGCTGGTCCCCCGCGACATGATGGTGGGCGCTCCGAGTAACAGGAACATGACGCCGTGGAAGCGCTGGAAGTGTCGCACCACCAACGACAACGGTGAGTGGGTGGAAGGGTCGCTCTGAGGCGGTAGGACGGTCCTCACTGGGGGGTTTGGGCTATGACGGGCGCTGGGCATGTCCTACCTGTGGAACATGCCACTCGGCTTAGCTCGTTGCTTAGTTTGCCATTTACCTTGCCGGCTGACAGCAGCCTGCCCTGAGTTTTTTTAGCTGCCCACGTATTTTGAGCTATTCCGGCACCCCGTTGCATTTTCACTATGCGGGCCCTTGATTATTACCCGTTGAACGTCCCTTCTGTTACCAAGCATAGCACGATGGAAAGCATAAACATTCAACATGCCAGTCATCCTTTTGGACATGTGGTTGTGCGTTTTCATTTAAGTTTCCTGGGCGACTGCCGCTTCGACCGTTGCACTTCGGCCGTGCTGTACCCGTGCAGCTCCCTCCCCAGCTGCTCTCATGCGTCATGTGTCATGTGCAACGGCCAGCGACATACACACGTCATGTGTCGTTTTGTAACCGTTTCCCTTGCTCCCACGTCACTTCTTCCCCTGCGGCAGACGACGTGGTACGCGAGGCGGACATTATCTTCATCGCGGTGAAGGCGTCGGTGTTGGTCCGCCTGATCGGTCGGCTGTCGCCCATCTCAGACGGCAAGACGCGCCTCTTTATATCGCTGGTGCCGGGAGTTACCCGCGAACGGATGACGGCGGTGAGTGACACACTGACACCGACACTTTGACACACAGTGACGCAGTCGGTGACATCACTGGCATACCAGTGAGCGTGACATACTTTGATACGCGATGTTTTCTGATCGCTGAGTCAGTAGTGTGCGGTTGTGTTCCGTTTATCGAGCCGATAATACAAAATAACAGAATGGAAATACTGTGTCAGGTAACTTCGGCGGTGTTGCGGTGCTTGGTCAGCCTGCACTTCCCAGCTTTATGCATTTATTTTCTCAGTCATGTGTGACTGAGCTGTCACCCCACCTGACCCACGTGACCCTCCCCTCTCCCTCACAGGTGCTCTCCTTTCTTGTGCTACTGTACAGACACCCCACCTAACCCTCCTCTCTGCCTCATAGCTGCCGTCCTGCCTTAAGCTACTGGACTCAACACCCCCTAACCCACCCTTCTCCCTCTCACGGCTTCTGTCGTGCCGCGTGCTGCCGGACGGACACCCCACCTGACCGTCCCCTCTGCCCCACAGCTTCTCTCGTGCCGCGTGCTGCCGCTAGAGACGGTGACCGGCGACCCGCCCGCTGACATCGAGGTGACCGGTCCACCGCTACACGTCATCCGTTGTGCCGCCAACAAGATGATGTCTATCAGCGCTGGGTTCTGCGGTGGGTGCTGGGACGGGTAACACGTCTACTCCTCTGACGGGACGCTGGACAGGTCCTTTTCCTATGTTCCGTTGGCCTTCCCATATATTCGGTGGCTTCACATTCACCTACTTACTGATGGGGTATCTCAGTAGCCACGCCCGGGAAGACCTCAGACGTCCAAAGCAGGCAGCTGGATACGCGTGGGCTAAAAAACTGATGCGGTGTTTTTTTTTTAGTTTTGGTTTACGTTGAAATGTCATTACGAGATATTTTGGTAAACAAAGAATATTGCTTTTTGGTCTATTTTGCCATATGGAATCCATGCCCAACCGGTACAGTAACTGCTTGCGCTCGTCTTGGCTGCCGGGGGGCCCAGAAAAGGTTGGATTTTTAGCGGGTCTATCCGACGGCCTCTCTGGCCAATCTGGACTATAATGTGATGTCATACCACCCTCCCCTGCCCAGGCTGCCCCGCCTACCTGTCAGCTGCTGAGATGTCAGGCTATTGCACCGTTATTTAATGTGCAAGGATGAGCCGCACAAGGTGACCTGATCTTACCTGGCCTGTCACACCCTGCAGTAAGGGCAATGCCGTGTCCCACTCGCTCTGACCTGACCTCAGTTATAGCCTACAGTATGGGTGAGGGCGTGCCTCATGCACTTCATACATATCCTGATCTACCCTGACCTGACCTGTCGCAGCCTGCAGTGTATGGGCGAGGCTTGTGACCTGACCTGACCTGTTACAGTCTGATGACTTGACCCGACCTGCCCTCCCGCAGCCTACAGTATATTGGGTGAGGACGTGCCCCACTCGCCCTGAGCAGACCTGTCACAGCCTTCAGTATGGGAGGACGTGCCGCACTCGCCCTGACCTGACCTGACCTGCCCTCTCACAGCGTACAGTATGGGCGACGACGTGCCGCACTCGCTGTACCTGGTGGTGGAGACCATGTTCTCGGCACTGGGCACCTGTGTTCAGGTGGAGGAGCACCTGATGGACGCCTACAGTACGATGATCGCCAGCGGAGCAGCCTTTGTGAGTTTTAGGGTTTGAATAGAGAATTAAGCATTGAGTTGGCTATGGTAAAGCTCTCACTAGCTGAATTTTTATCTGTAGTTGTAGTTTTTGGAGATTGTAAGCAATCGGGACATGGTAGGATGGTTTTAAGCATCATCACTGGTTTAATGTATCGGCATTGGGAGAGTTATCACCTGTGTTGTGTATAATACTGGGACCGGTGATAGTCGCGTGTAACTTGTGTGTCATTCCACCTGACGTATCCCGTGTCTCCATTACAGACGTGCGCGTTTATCGAGGCGATGGTGCAGGGCGGAGTGAGTCTGGACCTGGGCTGGGACGAGGCGCTCAAAGTGGCCTCGGCCGTGGTGAGTAAACTTCAGCAGCTGGGGCATTCCAGGACGATTCAACAGGTGCATAACACCCGACCCCCTCAGATTTGCTTCTAAATTGCTGTACAGGGTTATTCTGTGCCCAGAAGCCGAATCTGAAATTGTCAGACCCGTACAAGCAACAGTTTTTGAGTTATAGCATTGGGAAATTTTAAAAAGTTAAAAAACATCATTATATTTTGGTAGCTATATCTAATCGAAAACTTTTATTAAACTATAAAAATTATACATATTTGAACTCGCCACATCACAAGCTTTCTGATGGTATGCAAAAATTTTCAAAATTTTGAATTTTTATTTTTCCGAAAATTGTTCAAAAATTTATTTCAAATTTTTCAAAGTGTGGCCAGTTAAATAAAATTTATTTTTTTAGCTTTTATTAATGCTTAGGGTATTGGAAAACTATATTGTGAAAATTGGAGATAGGTATTTTTTATAAATATTTTATTTTATTTTTTTACTTTCTCCATGTAAATATACCATTTTGCTTTGATATGGTGCCGACGGTGCTATCTCGGGAACGGATGATCGTAGCGCGCCGGACGAGGCGGCAATGGAAAGATCTCAACGAGATGGATCTAGACATTGTCCGAATGTTGTTCTTAAAGGTCACGGGTCAGGTCAAGGTCAGGTCAAAGACCAAAATTCCAGGTTCTCATTCCCCTGCTGCTCCTGAGGCACTTTCATAATGATGAAGCGATGTGAAAATCGCACAGCATGCGTCCAACATATTTATAAAGGCGGTGAATCAGTAAATATGCAATCACAAGGTGAGGTCAAGGTCAAAATCAGGTCACGAAAGGTCATGATGAATAAACAGGGATTAGGGACATGCGACACATGTTTTATGGGTTATTTTCCGATTCCAAGTCAATGGTGATGGGCATTTGACCATTCGGGACCAAATCAGGTCAGATTAGGCCAATGCCAAGGTCAATGTGTAAAGTTGCTGTTTCTATGTCGGCATTAAAATACCTACCTAATAAAATTATATGATATATGGCTATACTAGAGAAATGAGTGAAATGAAATGAATAATGAAGAAGGAAGGACCCTGAAGGAGCTCTATGAGAAATTTAAGGAGGATCCAGCGAACCCAAAGATAGGATTTTCGTCATTTTGCTCACTCCGACCACGTAACTGTGTTCTTGCGGGGAGTGCAGGAACGCATTCGGTCTGCGTTTGTGTTTACCACCAAAACGTAAAGCTAATGGTCGATTCTCTGGGACAGAATGGTCTGACGTACCATGACCTCATCGACCACGCAGTATGTGACACTGAGAATGAAGAATGCATGACGGGAATGTGTCAGGATTGCCCTGGCGAGGCTGGTGTTGACACGTTCTTGAGCCTCGTCCTCCACGACGAGGAGTGTGTGACCATGGACCATATGTATAAACAGTGGGTTAGCATCGACCAATGTGAGCTTATTGATGTGCGAAAGGACTGGGATGATTTCATTCACGATCTATCTGTGTCAGTGGTGAAGCTCACCAACCATCACTATGTAGCAATCCGACAGAGTAGGGCATTTAAGGAGTGTAAAGAAAGTGTTGTGGAGGGAGAGGCCGTTGTCGTTGGGGACTTCAGTGAGAACTATACGTTCGTCATACAGGATGAGGTGCAGAGTCATCACTGGGACGCGCCACAGTGCACCGTTCACCCGTTCGTGGTGTACTGGAGGGAGAATGGAGAGGGAAAGCACCAGAGCTTCTGCATTATCTCAGATAATCTAAAGCACAACACGACCGCTGTCCATGCTTTCCAAAAGGCTCTGATTCCACGACTGAAGGAAAAAATTCCGTCTTTGACTAAAACCAGATACTTTTCAGACGGCTCAGCAGCACAGTACAAAAACCGCTTCAACTTTTCAAATATCTGCGCTCACAATAGTGACTTTGGGCTAGACTGCGACTGGCAATTTTTTGCCACCTCGCACGGGAAAGGCGCATGTGACGGCGTGGGAGGCACCGTGAAGAGAGCGACCGCTCTAGAGAGTCTACGCAGGCCCACAAGGGAGCAAATCACAAACGCCACCGAAATGTTTGAGTTTTTAAGTGACAAATTCGAGACTACAGTGAACTTTGTATTCGTGTCGAGGGTCGAGTCGAAAAAGCTGCAGAACACCTCAAGGAGAGTTTCAGCAAAGCGGTGGCAGTGAAAGGCACGCAGAGTCTGCACTGCTTTATTCCGGTCAACCACGAGACACTGCGAGTCTCAAAGTTGTCAGGGGGACCAGGCCGGCTGGTGAAAGTGCAACGCAGAAGGGCACCGAAAAGACGAAAGTGAGCCCGCGTAGACTTGCTAGCACCCCTGCCGTGTGTCTGTATGGTGGCTGTCTGTGCACTGTATTGTTGGTGATATGTGTGCCCAATACATTTCTACGAGCTGGTCACCAAAATGTGTGTTGTATTTCCTTCGTTGAACAAGGGATTGGTTGACCTGACCGTGACCTGACCTGAACTGACCTGATTTTGTCCCGAATCGTCCAATGCCCATCACCATTGACTTTGAATTGGAAAATAACCCATAAAACATGTGTCGCATGCACATAATCCCTTTTTATTCATCATGACCTTTCGTGACCTGACCTTGACCTGACCCGTGACCTTTAAGAACAACATTCGGACAATGTCTAGATCCATCTCGTTGAGATCTTTCCATTGCCGCCTCGTCCGGTGCGCTACGATCATCCGTTCCCGAGATAGCACCGTCGGCACCATATCAAAGCAAAATGGTATATTTACATGGAGAAAGTAAAAAAATAAAATAAAATATTTATAAAAAATACCTATCTCCAATTTTCACAATATAGTTTCCCAATACCCTAAGCATTAATAAAAGCTAAAAAAAATAAATTTTATTTAACTGGCCACACTTTGAAAAATTTGAAATAATTTTTTGAACAATTTTTTGAAAATTCAAAATTCAAAATTTTGAAAAATTTTGCATACCATCTGAAAGCTTGTGATGTGGCGAGTTCAAATATGTATAATTTTTATAGTTAAAAAAAGTTTTCGATTAGATATAGCTACTAAAATACAATGATGTTTTTTAACTTTCCAAAATTTCCCAATGTTATAACTCAAAAACCGTTGCTCCTAAAGGTCTAAAAATCTCAGATTCGGCTTCTGGGCACAGAATAACCCTATACAGCAATTTTGAAGAAAATCTGAGGGGGTCGGGTGTTAATTTGCACCCATGAGCTGTTGAATCGTCAGGGAATGCCCGAGCTCCAGGCAACTCCGTGGAGGAGTTGCACCTACCGGGGGCTCTCGATGACATAATATGTTTTAATAATACTGGGTAAAGCTCGGTTTAAAGTTCAGAGGCAGCCTATGATTACATTGATAGGTCATCGTACCAAAGATGATGCCGTGTTCAATGTTCATGTTTCTCTTGTAAATACACCGGCGTGAGGAAGTAGGTATCATACGATGAATCTTTGTGTACCGATGACCGGTGTCTTACCGCCCCTCCCCTCGCTCTGACCAGGTATCGGGCACCTCTAAGCTGCTTCTGCGCACCTCCGTCGACCCATCCGCTCTGCGCAAGTCCATCTCGACACCAGGCGGCAGCACCATCACCGGACTGGCCGCCCTCCAGCGCGGTGGGCTCGAGTGAGTCGCTGGGACTGAGCAGACGGGAGTGGTGATCTAAGGGAGCTGAGCTGACGGGGTGGTGATTTAAGGGAGCTGAGCTGACGGGGGGGGGGGAGGGTTCTGCGCTTAGACACAGGAGAATGAAAGGGCCCCACTCGTCACTTTGCGAAGTCCGTTGGCTTGGCGGCAAATTTTAAACCGTTTTACGTCTTTCGTATAGTTTCTAGGCGATTGTGCACATGTAGCTACCTATATTATGTGGCCAGCCGCTCTGAGTTTGCCAAGCTGACCCCCAGCCGCCCCCACTTCTGACCGTCTTGACCCGTCCCTCCCCAGTGACGCCGTGGGCAAGGCGCTGCAGCTGGCCTGTGAGAAGACCCGCGACGTGGGGAACGCCGTCTGTGGCGGCGGCGGTGGAGATACGAGCACGACCAGCATCTAGCTGCCGGCGGCCGGTGAGCGCGGTGCGACAGCGCCGTGAGTGACAGAGTGAGAACAGTGACCGGGTCGGGACACAGCTCTCTGATCGCCGCGAGACAGAGAGAACAGTGACTCTTGAACACAGTTCCCCCGTCCCGGACCACCGTGAGACAAAGAGAATAGAGACTGAACACAACTCCCGGACCAAGTCGGGAAAGAGGAGAGCCAAGAGCTCAGAACGCGACTGGGCTTTCGGACCGATTGGGGCCCCACTGCCCTCATCACAGTACTAATTATACATAGTACATACATGCATTATAGTGTAAGTTATCATACGCACATTATTCTCTTCACCATGTCTACCTAAAAGCGGAGGAGTTTGGATAGCTGAAACAAACCGTGTCTATTTTAAGAATTCCTGCAAAGCTGGAAGTTGGAACCTACTGAGTGAACATGCCTTGTATGATTTAGGTTGATCATCTTGTTGCTTTGCTATTTCCACTTGAGTTGCAGTTGATTTTTTAAAGGCATGTGTGCGATGTGCTTTGTTTCATCACGAATCACTCATCTGTGCGTCCATTTCCGTGCCGGTTTTATTACCGGCTAGTTCATTTTGTAAATAGTCAATACATTTTGAGGGGCGCACGTCCGCGTCTGTTGGTATCGGGTGACTGTTTGGGCGGGGCGGGCCATCTCCTGGTATGATCCTGACCTGACCTCACGAGCCGTGAGAGATGGTCTTACTCTAGCACTCAGGTTCTGACGGTAGCTTCTGCCGGTCGTGCCGGCGGTAAGACCACAGGGGCGAACAGAGGTTGGCCATTTAGGCAGGACGCGCATTTCTGGACGTTAAGGGGCTGCGTCAATGTACCTGTTCCATCAGAGGCAGCGGAACAACGCTTGCCGTTGCTGCACATTGCACAATGATGCAGCTGAGGTTTGTTTCACGAATCACTCTTCTGTGCGTCCATTCCGCGCAGCTAGGGACACACATCAGTAGATGTGGGACACAATCAGAAAATGGTGCAGAGCTGAACACTAAGCAAAGCAAAGCAAAGCTGTAGAAAGAGTTCAAAGGTTACAACTGACGGTAATGGAAAGGATCCACGAACCGTGGGGAGTCCACGGGTAATGAGTATTGCCGTGTTCGGTGATATCCCGCACTGGGCCCTTCTGAATAATAGTCTGTGACGGTGACTGGCGTGCCGACATGAGAAATAAGCACCGTGTGTGGAACCCCTCGCGGTTTCACTCATTCGTCGCAAGTGGAGATGGCAAAAGATGAAAATTTTGGGAACTAGACTCGAACCAGACCTGGCTGGACATTTCTGGAACCAGTCGGACCCGGTATTACTTGGAATCGGAACCAGTTGGACCCGTTCCCTAAAAGTCAATTAATACAAACTACTTGTAGGTAGCATTAGTTGCATCATGTAAAACAGCCTATTTATTTCCCACTGGGAATACCCATGAGCTACTGTGTGCAAAGACATATTCACTTCATATTTTGCAATAATGTGTAGTGTGCAAGATGTATAGTTTATGGTAGGACCCGGTTGGACCCGTCAGAAAATTTTCAGGAACCGGTCTGGACCCATATGGGTCCAGACTGGTTCTTTGAACCGAGTCCTCGGGTCCACATTTTGCCACCTCTAGTCGCAAGCATTCCGGCTCATGACTCGTCAGAGGCCGGTCGGTGCGAATACAATTTGGGGAAAGTGGCTCGCCACTTTCCCCAAATTGTAACAGACTTCGACATCGGAATGCAACTGTTTGGTAAGATGATGTCCTACTGAGCAACTACCGGCCTAGAATAAGTAAACAGAGTTGGAGCCGGCCCGTGACGGTGCGGGGTTTCCGCGCCCGCCGCTAGTCTGTATAAACTCTGTCCTGTGGCGGCCGGCGGCAGTGCTGGACTCCACGGCTGCGCGGTGTCCCCGGTCTCGTCTCGGGATGTCGCCACACAGTGCTGTCCCTCTACTGCTACTGGGCCTGCTCCTGGGCCCGGGCGCTGCTGTGCCTCTCCAGGACAGTGCTGATATCCCGCCGGACGGGTCTCAGCCAGTGGTGGCCGCCAGAGGGGGGTTCTACCTGCCGCCAGCGGGTACCGCCGCCCCTACTGCGGCCGCCGCCGACCCGCTGGTGCACCGACTGCAGCCGCTGTTGGAGCGGGCCCTGGCGCGCGCCGTGGAGAGTCTGCTGGCGGCCGGCCGGCGCACCGAGGGTGACCAGCTGGCCGCGCTCCGGGCGCGCCTGGAGAGCCTGGAGCGTGAGCTGGCCGAGCTGAGACGCGGCGCGCCGCCGTCGTCACCGCCGCCCGGTGCGGTCCAGTGCCCGCAGACGGAGCAGGAGCCGGCCGAGACGACCCCGGCGCCGCGGCAGGAGCCGGCTCCCACTCCGGAGCCGGAGCCGGAGCCGTGTCTGTCGGAGCCGGACCCGCTGGCGGCCGAGCTGGCACCGTTTGAGCGGCCCGAGAAGCTCTCCTGCGCCCGCTCTTGTCTGCAGCTGCGCGACCAGATGCACAACCCGCAGGACGGCGTCTACTGGTTCACCGGGATGTCGGTGCCGGTGCTGTGCGACTTCAGCCACGACGGCGGCGGCTGGACGCTGCTGCTGACGGCCAAATCTCGCGAGGGCTGGAATCTGCTCAGCGTGCTCGGACGCAGGGAGCGCTCTCCGTCTCTGGACGACAACTACTCGATCCTGGAGCACGCCGACTACATCCGAGACCTGGGCACCGGCACCCGGTTCGCCTATCGGATCGAGACGCAGGCGGGGAAGAGCCGCCAGCGCTGGGGCGGCGTCTGGTTCGCTCCCCAAAACTACAGCTTCGTCCACGAAAATCCCGACCAGACCGAAGTATTCAACGTCAAACGTTTTGACAAATGGACATACAAGGCGAACGGCATCAAGCGCCGCATGCCGTGGCTCAACATGCACGTTAGGGGCAGCGGAAACGAGCCGGCCGTCCTCACCACCGGCGATGCGTCCACCAACGTCTGGGGCACGCTGCTCAATGACGAGGGCAAAACCACCTACCAGCACAGTCCGTGGATCCACCCGGAGGCCCAGCAGTCGGGAACGGTGCTCTACTGGATGCGAGAGAACTCCCGTTGAGCCAGCGGCAGCGGGCGCCGTCTATTGAGGGCAGAGTGGTGGATGTTTGAGGCTGTTATAGTTGTCGATCGCTTATGTCCATAGTGATGGTGGCGGTAGGTCGTCACGCATTGTTTTAAATTACGTGCATGCTAGTCCAGCTAGTCTGCGACGTGCATCGACAAGTTATGTTTTACGAGAGCAGTTATTGCTCGAGTCGTCACTAATCCTAGGGTAAGCACTTGCGTTGTTATTACGAACCTGTTTTAAAGGCCCTGTTTAAGCAAGCAGTTGGTAGAAGTAGCCTACCCCGTTTGGGGACGTTGCTTTACCCTCGAATGGTACGCCCCTCCCCCTCCAAATGTTACGGATGTTGGTGACATATGTACCTGGCCTGGCCTGCTTCGTGATTATCACCAGCTCCATATATGTCTCAATGTCTCGCGTCAGTCATTTAAATGTGATATGGTAATACACAATTGTATGTCACTCATCGTTCTCTGGAATTTGCAGAATGTGTAAGCGTTTGGTTGCAAATATGATGGTCCAGTGCGCCCAAACTCGATCACCAGACGAGCGGCTGAAGTCGTCGGAACGCGACGCATAGTTCTAGATATCGCGCCAAACAGACGCCGTGACCGGCTATTCCGTTGCTGGAACTACCGTTGAGCCATGGCAGGTCTAGCGAGGACTCAGCAGTCCAATAACATACTACCACCAAAGCGGACATTCCCGATAAATATTATGAAATGCCACGCGCAGACTGTCATGTGTTCAGCTATAGACAGTTCTGGGATTTCCGTCAAATATATTGCAAATCAGCTCGCCAGTTGCTGCGTTATAGTGAGCAACGACTTCAAGCACACACAACTCACACAGGCTTCATATAAATAGACATTAGATAGTGATCATCACCAAACGTGCTCACCAAGTTCATAAAGTTCACGAAGTTCAGCCCCACAGCATACAATTGGAATGACGGACATGCTCAACAATAACAAATGCCCGACACCCGAATAGGGCAGTGTGCCAGCCAGTGTAGGACGGCTCGCTCCCGTCACGCCCCCTCCGTTCGATAATTTCCCACAGAAGCCATCCACAGCGCGGCGGTGAAATAACAAAAAAAAAAAAAAAACTGGCGGTACGCACCGTGGGCTCTCTCAGGCGGCCAGCACGGCCGTGCCCGCCGACCAGAGACAGCTAGTGCGGCGGTACCTACCGATCACTGGCGGCCAGCGCGGCAGTGCCCCGCTGCAGCAGCTCCAACATCACCGGATACACGTCCGCGAAGCTGGTGCCACCCTGCGCGCGCACCGCCTGTACGTGGGCGTCCAGCGCTCCCGTCAGCAGCTGGAGCCGCTCTCGCTCGGCGCGGTGCTCGTCGAGCCAGGCCGAGTAGCGGCTCACCGACCAGCTGGCCGTGTGGTGGGGGGAGCGGAGCTCGGGCGGGCCGCGCGCGAACAGCAGGTGCACCACCAGACTGTAGGGCAGCACCTCGCCCAGCGCCGGCGACTGCGCCATGTGCTCCGGCGTCTGCGGGGGCCGAACGGACGGACCGTCAGACAGGGGAGATGGACATGACCGGGAGGTACATACAGTAACACGGGCTTCAATAGCGCACGCATGACTAAACCGGAGGCCATGGATTAATTATTCGGTGCAACACACAAAACCATGTCGGTAGGACAACCAGCTGAGGACAACGAAACGCTGACGGACAAATTTCACCCTTCCCAACTAAAATTTAGGCCGAAATCGAACAGACAAGTGCCATTTTTACTGACAGTGGGACTAATTGCAAGCAATGTTGCCGCACAAAGGCAAACACGATTACGTTAGGGTGACCTGGCCTGACGCAATCGTTTTTGTCCTTGCACGGCAGAATTATGTTGTTGCCAGCGTTACAACTCGACGCCGACTGACCTGGAAGAGTAGCGGTTTGAAGGCGCGCAGCACGCGGTACTCCGTCCCCAGACTGGCCAGCCGTTCACAGAGCGGCGCCACGGCCAGCTCGAGCTGAGCGCAGTCGGCAGCCAGCCGGAGTCGACCGGCAGCACCCACCGGCCGGACCAGAGCCGCGTGACGGACAAACAGCTCGACGGCGCGCCGGCCCAGCTCCAGCTTACTGCGGTAGCAGGGGGGGGGGGGTTAGAGGGGTATGTCGGGTCAGACACAGACCTGGAGTACGGACACGGACCGACAGACGCTGTATACTGAGACCTAGCTCCAGCTTACTATGGCAGCACCGGGAGGGACGGTGAAAGAGGGTAAGGTCGGCCGGTCAGACACGAACAAGGACCGACCGGCACGGCTCCTGCATGGCAGAAAGAGCGAGCCAGTCGTGACCCCAGTGATCCTAATGGACCCTTAAGTTCAAAGGCGTTATGGCCTTCTGAACTGTATAACATGAGCAAGGATTCATCGGACATCCTCTTACCTGGCAGTGATGAGCGGTTTGCAGTTGAACGGTGCTAGGTAGTCGTCCACTGCGCGTGATATGAACGTCTGTAGCTCCTTCATATAGAGCGAACAGTTGGACTCGCCGCCACTCGACTCTTCCTCCCTACATGCAGCCAGACAAGTGACCGTTAGCATCTGCTGACCACCTGCAGACACTAAAAACAATTAACAGCCCACATGCCGGCTGAAGTAAGCTATCCAGGCAGAATCTAAGTTCTGCCGTCTAGGCAATAATAACATAAATCCGCTATAAACAGTATTCGTTCCATGCTTATCACAACTATTCCGACCCCCGTTCGTCCCCAACACCCCCCCCCTCTCCGCCGATGTTACCATATCCCCCCCCGACAACTAGCGCGGCCGCCTCTGTTAACTCACCCGGAGAAGTCCTCGTTGTGCATGGTGAGGATGATGGCCTCGATGGCCTCTGCGATGGAGGTGACCAGCGGCTGGATCCCGCTCCTCATCAAACTCCCGACGCCCTCGAGCGAAGCTAGCACGGCGTCTCGCGCCTCGGCCGCCAGTGTCGGCTGGCCGGCCAGCAGGCGGCGCAGCTGCGCCTCGAACGTCTGTAGCACGTTCACCAGCTGCACGTTGGTCGTCTGACCGGGCGACATCGGGCCTGGGGGCGGAAAAAACATAGCGCAACGGGGTAGGGTCACATCGGACCTGGTCGGGGAGACACAGAGATTATCAGGGCGGATCTGTTTTCTGACAGGAAAGAGAGACAGTAACAATAAAAAGACCGTTACATCGGACCCTAGCCGTAGGGGCATGGGAACAGCGGTCAAATTGGACCAGCGGAGAACACAGATACGGCCAAGGATGCAAGAGGTAGGGGGTGGTCGGACGGTCACAAATAATAAGACGGTCACACAAGCGAGCTATCATCAATATTTATCCCATTATTGGTTCGTTCCATCCAGCGAACGCCGTAGCCCATCCCGACTGTTCACTCACCGATGACCTGGCTGGCGTCTCCGTCCGTCACCAGCAGCTGTTCACACTTGACACAGAACAGCTGCACAGTCTTGGCCACGTTCCGGGCCACCAGCAGGCACAGAGACGGGTCCACGCCCGACACCGTCAGCTCGCTGTAGGGCAGAGGTCAGGTCAGGTCAGGTCAGACACATTCCGGGCCCCGGGCCACCAGGAGGCACAGAGATGGGTCAACGCCCGATACCGTCAGCTCGCTGTGAGGGACAGAGGTCAGGTCAGGCCTGGTCAGGTCAGATCAGGTCACGTCAGCCATGCTCTACCGGTCTGCCAGGTTTCCGCATTACCTATATTGCTTGTTAGAAGACGCATACTAGCACAAAAAAGAATCAATACATACGAGAAACCATGAAAAAACAATAAAATCGCCTCAAACTCACCATCATTACCAGGCATAAAAAACGAACATATTCTCTCTTTCCCCACCAGGCCCGTTTGCTCGCGTTCTGTAAGCACCGTTACCAGTCCCAGCACTGGCGGCGGCGGGCCCACTCACTTGGCGACGGTGCGGACGACGGCGTCAATCTCCTCCCGTGCCGGTACCGTCTCGGCCGAGAACATCAGGTTGACGGGGTCAAACAGCCGACTCAGCGACCGGGACAGGTAGGCGCGCTCAAACGGCGCCAGCGCCTCGCGCAGGCTGCTCTCCGGACTGCCGGGAGAAACGGGGCGGTAAGGCTGGAGCTCGGAGTTAGTGGTAAAGACGCGAGCAATTCGGTATCTACTGACTACCAACATATACTGGACAGTGCCTGGTAGGATAAATTGAGAAGACGCGGTTAATATAAACTTATCAGGAGCTAATCGGTATCTGAGCGGCATTACTATGCGACAAAATAGCAGTTTTTCCAAATGTTTATTGTACTGCACAATTGCAGAGCATTAGGAAAAAAATCCGGGAAAGAACTAAAAGGGCGACATGTGCAAAGTATATATGGCCGGGCGGGATAGCGAGGAAGGAGGAGGCAGACTCACTTGAACTGGGGCTGCCCGTCGGCGGCCGGCGGTGTGGCGAACTGCTGCAGCCGTGTCCACAGGTCCTGGTGGAGCCGTACCAGCTTCGGATACTCACCCTCAAACGCCTGCCGGATGAACGTCTGTCCTGCTCGATAGGGGAGGGGCGGAATGGCGTCAGGAGCGGCGAGGGAGTGAGGGTCCCTACTATTCCTGACCGTACTAGCTACCGTGTGTCTGCCCTGATCGTCCCATTCCTACCTTTTCTAGCCCTTCACTGGTCCTACCCATCATCTTGCCGTCATGGAGTTCTTCTCTCGTTAATTACCACCCATCCTACCGTTAAACACATTGATCTCTTTTCTGTGCCACCTCCCCACTTCCCAAGCCCTGCCGCTGCTCCCGAGAACATTCCCAGCCCCGTCGTTACAAACGCCCATCCCGTCATCAAACATTTTTAACACACTTCAATCCCAATCATCTTTCCAATTCAAATACAAACCACCTCCCAAGCCCTTCACTCATTCCTACTGGCCTGCTCTCCCAAATCCTTTCGCCAGTCCATCTCACCTTCAGCGGCCTTGACGAACTCTGTGCGGATCATGGCTGTGACATCCTGCCAGAATAGTGGCATCAGCTGTGCAGAGCGCACCTCGTCGATAAAACACACCTGGGTTACCGGATCGCGCTTCTTGCTCAGCACCTGAAACACGGGACGGGAGACGTAGAGGGTCGTGGTCATAGCAGATACAGCGAGCGGGGAAGATCCGACGCAATTACAGTCGTGGCTGTTCATCGTCCAGGCTCAAAGCCAGACGCGGGCTGCCTTATTGAGGTCATCCGCAGGACAATCGCGGCTATTTCTGCCTTTAGCTGTTTCTCGTTAGCTGCATAAATAAAAAATAGAGTCAACCTGACGGCTGACGATGACCCAGCGTGTGCACTGTGCAGCCGGCCGTCGCCCCCACCATTACGCGGCTCTGACCGACTCCTCAGTTCTCGGACCCTATCCCCACCTTGTGAATGTGCTGGATCTGTGCGCAGGCGCCGTAGATGTGATCGGCCAGCCGCTCCAGGTTGTTCCACAGCGCGGCGCGGAAGGTGACGGTGTTACTGGGCAGGGCGGCGGCGCCGGGCCGGCCGGCGGCCGTGCCCGGGCCCGATGACGCGGCCAGCACCGACTCGAGTCGCAGGGCGTCGGTGAGTCGCGTCTGCAGCCGGTCCCTGGTGTCAGTAAGCAGGCCGTCCACCGTCGGCTGCAGCGAGCCCAGGCTGTGGCACACCTGCAGGGCCGTGGCCACCTGTCGGCGACGACAGAAAACGGCGGTGTGTACTCACAGATGGCGACATCTAGTTACGAGGAGTTCAGACACTTGCTTAGTCTTTTCGTAATGATCTGTTCGAACGGCGTACTGTCATAAGGAAATGCCATTAAGTGCAGCTGTCTACCCTGCATGAATCGAGTTTCCCATTCAGACAGAAATCCGGAGATCAGCAGGCCGCAACTGGTCTCGGCCACCAGACTTGAGTTATGACATGTGAACGGAGCGCAGAACTGACCTGGGACTGGTTGAGCGACTCCATGCCTCGCTGCAGTAGTCCAGCCGCCTGTTTCTCCACCGACTGGCGGCCGGCGCGGATCTGACGCTGCTCACGCTCGTACACCTCCAGACCGGTCAGGTCCACGTCCGAGACGGTCTCGTCTGACAGAGGGTACGTCACACTCAAATACAGAGGCGCAGACCCTCTCTTACAGACACACATAGTCCGGAGAGATCTACGTCCGAGAGATCTCGACTGGGGAGAATGCGTTTTAATCACAAAAGGGGCAAAGACCCACACAGACACAGACTGGTGACTGGCGAGGTCCATATCTGAGAAGGTCTCCTCGTCTGGGGAGGGGATACAACAGTCAAATACAGGGCGCAGTCCCTGACAGGTCTCAGTTCGCGGAGCGGATCTTACCTCACCCCACCCTACCATGTCCCTGCAGCTCGTTTCCGCCGCCTCTCTTACCGAGTTCGCTGAGCGTCTTGGCCGCTTTGGTGATATCCCTCAGCCCTCCGCGCAGCTGCGCCTGCAGCCGGCGGCTGAGCTGCTGCAGCCGGATCAGACGGCGCAGCATGTCGCAGGCGGCGTGCAGTCGGGAGAGCATCACACTCTGGGAGGCGATCTTCAGGTACGGCTCTTCGACCCGCGACCGGAGCCGCTCCACGGCCGCCAGCAGTGCCTGCCGACAGAAACGGACCGACGGGGACGGTCAGAGCACAAACTGAGGCGATACTTACATCGGATGTGATAATTACCACATGTATCATTATATAGAAGCCAACATGACCGAACGAATGGCAGCTCGTTCGCTTACGGCTCTTGGCGGTACCGACCTGAATCTTGGCCAGCATGGTCTGCAGCACGTCATCGAGCGTTCCGGTTCCGCTGGCCTGTGACAGAAGGTCCTCGTAGTGTTCGTTCACCTGATCGGCGATCTCAGAGTCCAGCAGCGCGATACCTGCCACAGGGGAGCGGAGAGAAGACGGAGATGTCAAAATCGTACACAAGGTAGATGGAAGGTGGTGGCGAGCCGTGTGACAGGGAGGGCTGTAGCACGGGCAAGCGGTGCGTGAACGCTGATCAGGGGTGGGGTGAGGGGGCCCGCCGCTGCAGCGGCGGGACAGCGCGCTGGCAGTATTTCCGCTTCAATGATTCAAGGTGATTCGTTTTTTAGGAATCTTTTTATGAAGAAATCTTACTTCACTGAGCATTGCCTGGGCTGAGATAACCTGCAATACCCACATGTGAAGCAGCTTCACAAAGCATAAGTTCATGTAGGATATGCTGGCCCGCCTCCTATCCCGAGCGGCGCCGGAAAGGGTGTCAGCTAACGATTTGGTTTTGTGGGACAGCGTCTTCTACTCAGCGCTCCCTTTGAGTGATGTGAGCCAGTGTTTGCTGCTTACCTGTGGCCATAATGTGTCTACCTGCTCACCTTTAGTGATGTGCGTCAGCTGCTCATCTTTAGTAATGTGCGCTAGCTACTCCTCACCTTTAGTGATGTGCGCCAGCTCCTCACCTTTAGTGATGAGTGGCAGCCGCTCAACTTTAGTGATGAGCGGCAGCTGCTCACGTTAAGTGATGTGCGCCAGCTGCTCACCTTTAGTGATGTGTGCCACTGCCAGCACCTTTAGTGATGTGCGCCAGCTGGTCACCTGTTTAGTGATGTGGGCCAGCTGCTCACCTTTAGTGATGTTCGCCAGCTGCTCACCTTTAGTGATGTGTGCTAGCTGCTCACCTTTAGTGATGTTCGCCAGCTGCTCACCTTTAGTGATGTGCGCTAGCTGCTCACCTTTAGTGATGTTCGCCAGCTGCTCACCTTTAGTGATGTGTGCCAGCTGCTCGGAAAGCGCCGCCGACTGGAGCAGCGTGCTCGCCTCCCGGTTAACATCAAAGTCGGCGGACAGAAACCGGCTGTACGCTCCTGAAACATGTGTCATGGTCAGCAGTCAGCACACTGTAGCTGAGTGGTGGTTTGTCATGGGCCTGTCCATGACCACTAACCAGCTCCGTTTGATTTCCTGCTGGCTCAGACTGCATCAATGCATCCATCCAAAACATAAAAGCCAAAATTTCTAACAAAAATACAAATCTGAAAATGTAAGCCAGCATGGCTGATACTATCCTAATAACCAAGTTCTCACGTCCACTTGACTGTTAAACAGCTAAGCTTCTTAGTGCTGCTAAGACTCAAACCACATTGCACTGATTGTACTCATTAGTTATTACTCAATTTTGGCTTCTATGCTATAGGCATAATGATCCTTTACAGTTGGCAATGAGGTACAGGTACAGACACAGCAGATACAGGGAAGGATCAAACCACATAAATACTTTATCATATGGAGGATAAAAAAGAAGTGTTTGAACTGGCACACAGATGACACGAGCTTGAAAGTCTTACCATCATCTTGAAGAGTCCTCAGAACAGCAGGTTCATCTTCCATGATGGAGCCTGTGAAGTATACACATTTATAATATTTTTGTATTGTGAAGGGTCTGTCTCCAGGACAGAGCATATATCATCACTCAGCCTGTCTGGCCAGCAGCACTACTGTGTGGGTTCAGTCTGTCGGAATCTTGGATTCAGCAGTGCCAGGAAACTTACTGGAAGATCACCCTAAATCAAGCACCCCATGGACAATTTGGACATGCCATAGACCAAGGTCTAACAAGTAACAGGAGCTCCTAATAAGGCTAGACAAGGAGTTTCAAGCACAGAAAACTAGCAGCGAACACATGACTTGGTTTGAGAAGTTTGACTTTATTTCATAACAAACTATAAAGGTACTCTGTGCAGTGTGCAACTGGGCAGGCAGGGCAATAGGTACAAGTCTTTGTCAGGAGGGAAGGCATCCTTTGCATTTTTATTAAAGTCAATGTAATGTAAGGTGAGCTGAAGTAAAGTGAAAGTACCTAACATTTAGTTGACCAACAATTCTCATGGTTCTTTTATTGATGCAGGGGCACACAGCCAATTCAAGAAAACATCTTTACTTTAATGACTACAGACATGCTCATTGCTCATTGCTCAGCATCTGTGCAAGATGAAATTTCTTGATAATTTTCATTTTAACTTAGGTCTTATTACATAGGCAGCCCAGGCCTTAGCTTGGGTAGACCATGGGGATCAAGATAGGTAGGTGTAAGCCATAAGGTACCTACCTATGAAGTCCAGTGAATATGAAGTCCAGGTTGAAGTGGTAGGTTATAGGAATTGGTAGGATGTAGGTTGGTATGGTAGGTTATAGATTGGTAGGTTGTAGGGGTGTCCATGTAGGTTGTAGGTTGGTAGGTTGCAGGTCATTTATATGTTAGTAGGTACAGTTACGTTTTTTTAAAATAAATTTTGTCCGAACCTTTGGATTGAAAGGATTCACAAGGACAGAGCCACCGCTAAGCGAAGCTTGTTGTGATGACCCTGTCCTCTACCCTCCGATCGCGCAATTCCAGTTCTATGGCAGAATTTAGAGTCCAAAGTTTAATGTGCGCACATAGCCGCGCACCGCCAGTCCCCTCACTGACTTCGCCTGGCTACGGCCTGCCATCAACCGCAACCATACCTGTCAGGAGGCCCATAAATGTCAAGCGCCCGTCGTGCTTCGAACCCAGACTGTTGTAACCGGGAACGAGTGCTCTCACCACGCGGAGTCCAACGCTCTACCAACTGAGATACGGGACCGGCTGGATTGTTTGCTTTTGGTTAGATTGTTTTTAATCTACCTACTTGGACTTCATCTTCACATTTACCAACGTAAAACGTTATCGATGGTGTAACAGGGTGTAACTTCACGGTGAACAACGTCTAACGGGCAACAGTGAATTTCTCTCCTCAGCTGATTAACATTCTGCTAATAATTATTTGCAGGATAGGTTGGTTGGTTTGGGTAATATTGATATCCATTATCCGGTGGACGCGGTGGACCAAGTGCTAACCGGAAGTCTCACGCTGTTCCAAGCGGTCAGGCAGCGGCAATGCCACATGCATTGCCCGGGAGCAGGATAGGTCAAGAGGTAGCTTTTTTAACCTTCACTCAATATACCCTGTTTTTAACCTACCTATTTTACTTACCGTTGCGTGCAAATTCGTGCAATAATCCAAATCACACGCAAGAGTGCATGCGCTTTGTTTGTCTGATGTGCGTCATTTACGAAACTTGTTGACATTTCACTTATCCTATTTTTTAGCCTCCGAGCAAAATCACAAACAGCTTGTAAATGATCATTGAAATGGCAGTGCTTGATAAAAATAGTTTTTCATCGTTACTATTTATGTTTACGTTATCAAATTGCTTAAATATCCTTACATTGATCGTAGAAGCTCTTCTCCTAAATTTACCCCGCGTTCGCAGTCTCCCGGACGACGAAGGTTCTACGCCGTGCGGCCAATCTCGTTCGAGGTCGGCGGGGGCTGGGCCGCGGTTTTCGAATGTTATTGGCCGGACGACGTTTACGTCGTCCGTACGTCGAGACTGGGCAAAATAAGTGACTTTTTGGCTCCGCGTCCAGTGGCGGCGAAAGGTATTCTAGGATAGGGGTGCAAACGATATTGAAGCGCCCCTTCCCGCTGGGCGCCCCCCAAACGATGTGCTCGCCAGCCGCACGTAAGTAGGTACTGGTCCTACGCACCGGACAGCTGCACGCGCAGACCCCACGGGCTCGCCAGCTGCTCACACTGGTCCCACGGACCGTCGGCTGCACGCGCACGCCGCCTCGGCTCGCCAGCCGCACGTAAGTACTGGTCCCACGGACCGCACAGCTGCACGCGCAGACCCCACGGGCTCGCCAGCTGCTCACACCGGTCCCACGGACCGTCGGCTGCACGCGCACGCCACCTCGGCTCGCCAGCCGCACGTAAGTACTGGTCCCACGGACCGCACAGCTGCACGCGCAGACCCCACGGGCTCGCCAGCTGCTCACACCGGTCCCTCGGACCGTCGCACAGTAGGCCGGCCGGCCGCCAGGAGCGCTAGAAATGCCGAAAAATGAAACGTGCTCAGGGTGCAAAAAATTAATACCCACAGACTCGAAATTGATCATAGGATACGATGCCGTGCCGTGAATAAGTATGAGACCGATGTCACGGCCAATATTCAGCTCCGAACACAGTCTAACTGACGGTTAGGGAATGAAGCGGCTATCTGAACGATTTCGACTAGATTTTGAATTGCTCTTTTCTCATGAATGAACATCTTATTGGTGAAAATAAACGACTGCACATGATGCACACGGTTATTGTGATCATGTTCATAACCAATTTCATTGGGCTCACTCATCTGATTGCACTCTAAATAGTGAGTTTGCAACATGTTGCAGACATCTACATAAGCTTATATTCAATTAGACTTATATAAAAACGTTATTTTTGGCACCTAATTCTGACGGCATAATAAGATTGGGCAAGTGTTGTACTTTCGAACCGTTGTCGATTTTTTCTGCTTTTCGCTGCTAGTTTAGGAGCTATACTGGCATTTGCTGGGGTATTTTTATACCATCTGGTTGGGAGAGGGGTAGTGAACGTCCTTAGCCTATAACTTGCGAACAAATGGTCGCAGCGAGATGCGCATGGCAGCGATCGAAAGGTCTCAACAAGATGTGTTCGATTAGCATTTAAAACTTGTTTTAACCCGGCATTTGCTGGGGTATTTTCATAACACCACTTGCTGGGGGGGGGGGGGGGCCGTCAGACGTCCCCAGCCCATAACTCGAGAACGGTTAGTCGCAGCGGGACAGGCGAGGCGGCAAACGAAAGCTCTAAACAAGACGCATCTGATGAATACTTAAATTTGGTTCTCAGGTCAAACTTGAGGTCAAGGTCAGGTCAAAGGTAAAAAATAGGGGTTTTCATTTTGGGCCCCAGAGACCGAACTACCGACAGCAGCGAGCTCAAAATTTCTTGGCATGTGCCCAAAAGATGTAAGAAAAGTCTCATTGTGTCTAAAGCGAATTGGAGCACAGGTCAAGGTCAAGGTCAGGTCACCAAAGGTCACACAAAGTCGAATTTTCAAAATAACATTTAAATACCGTGTGACACATGTTTTTGGGGTAGTTTTGGACGTAGAACACGATGGTGGCAAGAATTTGGAGATTTGACCCCCGCAAAATGGTGAAAAAGTGAAAAAAGGGGTTAAAAATTCGAAATTTTCAAAATTCAAAATTTTGAATTCAAAACATGCTATCTGATGCAGTTTTATCTCAGGATTCCAAAAATGTCTTTTGTTTTGCTCTACGACCCCTATAAGTACCAAAAATTTGAGTTTGAAAAATGAAATTGGATATTTTGTTACTTTTTGCGCCCTCTATAGCAACCAAATATTGAGCTACGGACTTGAAATTTTGCATGCTGATTCTTCTTTTGATGCCCGAGGACAACTTGTCTCATTTTTTTGAAAAATTCAAATTTTTGAAAAAATCAAATTTTTCTCAAAATTTGGTTTGACATTTTGGACCCCTAAAACTCAATATTTTGAAAATCCGAGATAACCATCTTGTAGAAAATTCAATTTTCTATCGTTTGAGCCCTGAAAATTGCAAATTGCTTCATTTATATATCCTACAATAGGCAGGGGAGGGTCGATGCGAAGCCTTATATTCGCGATGGTGCAAAAACGGGGATGCGCATCGCGCTGAACTTTACAATAGCTTCTACAGGGGCATATTGTGATCGTATTCATAACCGAATTCATTGGGATCACTCACTTGATCCTATATATAGTAAGCTTGCAGCATGTTTCAAAAATATCAGAGGACATATTAAGGATACATTGAATTATATTTTTTTCAAACATGTGATTTCGTGCACCTAATTCTGACGGCATAATAAGATTGCGCTGGTGTTGTAGTTTCCAACCGTAGTCGATTTCTTCTGCTTTTCCCTGCTAGTTTAAGAAATATAGCCTTCAATATGAGGGGTTCTATATCCTACAACAGGCAGGGGAGGGTCGATGCGAAACATTATTTTCGCGACAGTGCAAAAACGGGGTTGCCCAGCGCGCTGAACTTTACAATAGCTTCTACAGGGGCATGTTGTGATCGTATTCATAAACGAATTCATTGGGATCACTCACTTGATCCTATAAAAAGTGAGCTTGCAGCATTTTTCAAAAATATTAGAGAAAATACTAAGGATACATTGAGTTACATTTCTTTCAAACATGTGATTTCGGGCACCTAATTATGACGGCATAGTAAGATTGGGCTAGTGTTGTACTTTCCAACCGTAGTCGATTTTTTCTGCTTTTCCCTGCTAGTTTAAGAAATATAGCCTTCAATATGAGGGTTTCTATATCCTACAACAGGCAGGGGAGGGTCGATGCGAAACCTTATTTTCGCGACAGTGCAAAAACGGGGATGCCCAGCGCTCTGAACTTTACAATACCTTCTACAGGGGCATATTGTGATCGTATTCATAACCGAATTCATTGGGATCACTCACTTGATCCTATATATAGTAAGCTTGCAGCAGGTTTCAAAAATATTAGAGGAAATATTAAAGATGTATTAAATTATACGTTTATAAAAATGTAACTTCGGGCACCTAATTTTGACGGTATAAAAAGATTGGGCTAGTGTTACACTTTCCAACCGTAGTCGATTTTGTATGCTTTTCCCTGCTAGTTTAAGAAATATATCCTTCAATATGAGGGGTTCTATATCCTACAACAGGCAGGGGAGGGTCGATGCGAAGCCTCGACCCTCCGATGCGAAGCCTCGACCCTCAGATAGAGAGAGAGAGAGAGAGAGAGAGAGAGAGAGAGAGAGAGAGAGAGAGAGAGAGAGAGAGAGAGAGAGAGAGAGAGAGAGAGAGAGAAAGAGAGAGAGAGAGAGAGAGAGAGAGAGAGAGAGAGAGAGAGAGAGAGAGAAAGAGAGAGAGAGAGAGAGAGAGAGAGAGAGAGAGAGAGAGAGAGAGAGACAGGGAGACAGGGAGACAGGGAGACAGGGAGACAGAGAGACAGAGAGACAGAGAGACAGAGAGACAGAGAGACAGAGAGACAGAGAGACAGAGAGACAGAGAGACAGAGAGACAGAGAGACAGAGAGACAGAGAGACAGAGAGACAGAGAGACAGAGAGAGAGAGAGAGAGAGAGAGAGAGAGAGAGAGAGAGAGAGAGAGAGAGAGAGAGAGAGAGAGAGAGAGAGAGAAGATTGTATCCTTGACCAATTCATGTGTCGGTCATTAATGGAGAAACTGTGAGTGCCGGGAAGTGTGTTAAAATCTTACCAGGAATGACGCCTTTTGAACTCCTCAGTAAACTAAGTGCAGTGTATGCAAATTGCAACATGCATGCATGCATGGTATTAGAAGTCTTGAATTTACATCTTATTGGTGTGGTATCTCGCTAAACGTTGTAAATGAAATGTTTTCACAGTCAGTTGAACGATAACTCGAGCGCAAATAATTTCCAGCGCTCCTGGCGGCCGCCCGGCCCACTGTGCGTCGGCTGCACGCGCACGCCGCACCGGCTCGCCAGCCGCACGTAAGTAGGTACTGGTCCTACGGACTGGACAGCTGCACGCGCAGACCCCACGGGCTCGCCAGCTGCTCACACCATTCCCACGGACCGCCAGTGACATGTACAGGCCCCCTGGGCCCACCAGCCGCATACACGCGGCACAAGGACCACTGCTGTCCCGGCACCGCACGTCTTCTTCGGACCGGCCAACCCACTTCATGGTCTAACGTCTCGCCGTCACATAAGAGTAGGAATGGAGCAGCTCAGTCCGGCCAGCCAACGCCCGGCCCTGCCACTGGAACGGAATAAATGCCGCCCCCTCATTGCCGGGCGCCCAAGGAGAATGAATGTTACACATCAACACCAATATGCCTCCCAGTGAAATGCATTATGAATGTCGCCTTTCGACGCCGGTAGGCGCCCCAGACACCAGTGGATTTACTGCCGCCTTAAAACACCGATAGGCACCTCAGTGAAGCGAATGCCGGCCTATACCACCGATAAGCGCCCCGGATGAATAAATACCACCCGTCAACGCCGATAGGCGCCTCAGTGAAATTAATGCCGCCCCAATCTCCGATAGGCTCCCCAGGTGATACATGTCGCCCATCAACACCAAGGGCGCCCCATTTAAATGAATACCGCCCTTCAACACTGGCAGACGCCCTAGTGGAATGAATGCCGCCCC